AAAAGTGCATAGAAAACGAGATACATGTCATTGGCCTCCGGCCTCATCTCATACATGTTAAATACATTGAAAAGAGTGCACTTACATACACTTTACATATACGAATCAACGAATACAAGTTTAAACAAATAGGGCTACAAAGAGGCATCTTATGCTAACACTTGCATAAAATAAAAACATAGAAACTGTAAGCCATCCAAGGAGCAATGGAATCTTCAAATCCTGAGTCTTGTACCTGAAATATGCCCCAGTATCGTAGGAGTGAGTAACATAAAGCTAGTCGTAGGAGATGAGCATGCATCGACCTAGCATTTTACAATTTTATCACCTTATAGTGAAACATGTTAAAGGGGCTCATGCCACCTAACGTCTATGTCAAGATGAGACCCAGGGAGCATCCTAAGCTACCTAGATCATTTATATCATAATCACATTGTTCATGCAATTCAAACAACATGGAAACATGTTATACAAGGCAGCAAGATATAGATTCTCAAAGTCTTCAAATTGAAATCCAAAATACGAAAACAACAAGGGTGGGTCATGCCACCTAATGTCTATGTTCAAAATGAATCTATAAGGTCATTCCTAAACTACATTTGAATATCAAAACACAAATTATGATATCGATGCAATTTAACCAACAATGGAACTTCCAATACAACGCATGAAGCATGCTTTCACAAAGCTACATCTTAAGCTCAAAATAGGAAATCAAATAAGGAACAACAAGTTACAATATCATCTAGTTATCAACTTGAAATGAAATACAAAATTAAATAAAGTGGATACTCGGACGTCACGCCAGATCAGACCAACAACATTAGTTACTTTAGAGTTACTAGCCCATGGGTAACCTCCCTATGTGCGCACTAGACTATATAGAGGGACAATCCCCCGTACTAGAACCAAGTCCTAGCCGTAGCCAAACAACGACATCCCTAAGTTTCCAAAATCAACAAATTGTGCAACAACGTATATATATCAACATGTATATACAAGATATCAACTTTTTACCAAGCACAATCCAAATTTTGGAAACTTATACAATACATACTAAAAATTCACAACTACTATGGCATGTAAGATGTCAAATACAAAATGTGCAATTCCTTACACATAGCAACAATATATTCAATAAGGAAAAACATATTCTCATGAATATAAAAGTAACAATTATGTTATTCAATACTCAAAAGTAATCAAGTGAACATACATCAAATCCAAATCCATGATTTAAATATAGAAACAACTTCCAAATTACAATTAAATCCATGGAATAATAAAGTAGAATTTAATTAAACATAAATAGTTAAATTCTCTAAATTTCAAGTTAATCCAAATAACCTCAATTTAATATATATTGAAAGACATGTCATGGTCATCATATATATAACATCAAATGACAAGTTAAGTAATTAAAACACTTAAAACAAAATTTATCAAGTTAATTAATTAATTTCCTCTAGATTTTTAAACAATTCCAAATGCCCTCAATTTAATCTATGTTAGAGAACATGCCAAGGCCTATTTAAATACCACATTACAACTTGATTTAATGCTTGATACAACCATGTGAATTAAATTTTCACTAAAGATAAATATTAAATAAAAGTTGTAATTCTTAATCAAATGATCCAAATTTAATATATGTTAACCAACATATCTAAGTATAATTTCCTAGCATGTTACAATTCAAATCAAAGTTATACATCATCATAAATTTTCAATCTTATACAAAGAAATAAAAATTACAAACTTTTTAGATTTGATACAAGGCATACATATATGTTGTATAATCATGGCAAACACACAATACAACACACAAATAATCCTAAAACATTCCCTCCCTCATTTGGAATGAAAATCCCAATTACCACCGAAATGAAATCGCCCCAAATTTTCGGTCCGCAAAACAGATTTTTCAGCTTGCTACCTTCAACTTGCAAAATTCATAAAAAATTAAATTCTAACCCAAATTGAATGAATCCAAAGCCCAATGAAAGCTTAAACACTGTAATTTGATAATATCAATTTAGTTTAACAAAATATTTTTCCAATTGAAACAGTTTTGAACCACAACATTGAAACAAATTCTGCCCAGAAAACACCTTTTCAGCCTGTAGCTTCCAACTTTAAAAATTCATGAAAAATTCATTTGACATCCAAATTGGGAAAACCTAATTTATTTTGGAGTAAACATATGAGAGTGTAAAACTGAAAATTTAAGCCATGATCCAATGTCAAAAGGTTAGTGAAATAAATCATCTAAAAATATGTTTTCCAGCTGCAATAAAAACATGGACAGCAGATAGTTTCGGATTTTTAAAAACAATTTAGAAATGGTTTAATATTGTGAAAATATTCTGAGTTGTGTAAAACCCATGGGGGAAGTTCCAGTAAAAATTTCAAGGCAATTGAAGAACCAAAGCTCCATATAAAAATTCATTTCCAGACCGAAAAGGAAAAGCTTCAAATTTCTAGCAACTAGCTTACAACTTCAAAAATTCATAACTAATTCATTTTAAATCCAAATTATATGAAACCAAAACTAAATGAAAGCTAATTGAGTATATTTTCATATTCTATATTTAATTTGACAAGATTAATTTCAAGTTAAAACATTTTAAGGGCAAAATATAAGTCCTTCTCTTCCATGCATGTAAAACACTCAATAATGACATAAAAATACTTCAAAATAATATATCAATACCTCACTAGAGAATTGAATCTCTAGATACCAAAGCAAAACTAGGAGTTAGGCTAGATCCTTCAAGGGTTTTGAAGAGCAGAGTGGGAGGAGCCTAAAGTATTCCAAGTTCAAAGTTCTAAGGTGAGTGAAAGGGCACCAAAAATGAAGTCAAAGCTACTAGTCAAGTTTTTCTCCAATGGTGGCTTCCTTAGGGTTCTTGAGAGGAAAGTGATGAATGAATTAAAATGTGTAAACCCTAAGCTAAATTGGTGGGCTTCTCCACTCACTAGGTGTTCTTGCACTACCTCTCACACACACACTAATGCAAGACTAAAGGTGAGTTCTACACTTGTCATGAATCCAAGTAAGCTTCCAAGATTAAATATTAACCCTACACTTGTCCACCATCCATGCCAACAAGTGCACCAATCCTAGGACAACAAGTGGGTGAATCTCCACCCTCCATGTGTCATGAGATTAAGCCTCCAAGTGGTTCTACCACAAAATCAACAAATAGCACCATAGGAATGTGACACTTGTCACATTTTTCAGAAATTGCAAAAAGGTCCTTTTGAAAATATCTTCCAATTTAATTTGCAAAATGGTCCCTAAGAAAAAAAATAATTACTTTACTTAATTACCCCAAAACCCCTCAAGTTATGGATAATTACAAAAAGTCTTGTTTTCATGACTTTTACAAGGAAAGTAAGCGTTTAATATGCATTTCTACCAAAGTAAAAATGTAAATGTCATGGAATTTAAATATCATGGACGTATACCAAGCCGGAATCAAATCTGAGCACAAAAAGTGAGGTTAAGTAAGGAAAAATGAAAAACGATTAAAGGACAAAAAAGGGAAAAGACGAAAAAATGAATAATGTCAAAAAAAGAAAAAAATGTGGAAATGACTCGGTCCTCAAAGGAAGTTGTCAATCCAAAGGAAAGAGTCTCAGAAACCATTTCCGAGTACTCGAGATGACACTAAGAGGCGAGAAATCGAACCCGAAAAGGAAAAGACAATGAAAAAAAAATTATCCGCAAAATTTGAAGAAAGGGAAAGAAATGAAAATGACCGGGTCATTACAAACCATTTCCTAAATTCATTCCCATTGTCACTATTGGAAATCAAGTGCATAATTGTACCATTATGATTTCTAAGACAAGATAAACATATCAACATAATTATATATTCAAATGAAGATCACATACATTAATTCAATGCAAACAACTTCTATTTTATGAAACCAAATATATACATGATGAATCCCCAAATTAAAATAGCAATTACAACATATTTACTTGGTTTAGGCTACACAACTCCCTAGGAAAGGAGTTAGTTCCTCATGGACGTGGTAGCAGCTTCAAAGATTGAAGAAAAAGAAGATTTCCACTGCAGCCCTATTGTTGCAAAACTCAGCATAAAACCTTAAGGAAAATCCTCTCTTTCCCCAATATCTCTCTAGAATAAAATTAATTAATAAAATTCAAGCCTTTGACCCCTCTGAATACCAAAATGGGTTACCAAACAACCCAGCCTATTGAAATTCAAATTCCCTCTTAATAGGGAACAAACTTTGACTTATTAAAAGTGGGGACCCATAGGCTGGCATCCGGACGTGAAGTATAGCGTCCAGACGCGAGGTAACTGCATAACGTCCAGACACGAAGTCCTGCGTCTGGACGCGAAGGCTAATAATTGGCTTCTTTTTTCTCTTCTGCAATGCTGAATATGTCCATTGAATATTTGGGTCATCTCTTCTTGAAAATCACTTGATATTTAGGCCCGATATGACTTATCCTTCAAAAACCCTTAAAACCTTATTTTTATTACTTTTTAGTAAATAAAACTGCAAAAACACAAAAACACAAAAATGAAGATAATCTATATACAAAGATCAAATAATGGACTTAACTAATACAATTAAGGGCACTTAAATATGCAATATTCGACGCTTATCAAGCACCTAAAGCATGGTATGAGAATTTAACTTCTTATTTAACGCACAAGGGCTTTAGAAGAGGAGGAGCAGATAAAACTTTGTTTATTTTCATGAAAGGAAAAGATTTTCTTGTTGCTCAAATATATGTGGATGTTATTATTTTTTGTTCTACATGTGATAACCTTGTTCATAATTTTTCTAAAGATATGAGTAATACTTTTGAAATAAGCATGGTTGGTGAACTGACTTTCTTTCTAGGTCTCCAAGTGAAACAACTTGATGATGGGATTTTCATATCTTAATCAAAATATGCAAATAAGCTAGTTAAGAAATTTGGTATGAAAGATTCAAAGCATTTTCAAACTCCTATGAGTACTGCATCCAAATTGGATAGAGACTCTGATCCTTACATAGTTGATCATTTCTTGTATAGGAGTATGATTGGTAGCTTGTTGTATTTGGCAGCAACTAGGCCAAATATTTCATTTAGTGTAGGTGTGTGTGCTAGGTATCAAGTTGATCCTAGAAAACAACACATTCTTGTAGTCAAGCGCATTATTCGTTTTGTGAATAGTACATTGAATTATGGATTGTGTTATTCTTCTGAGTCTAACTCTAAGATTGCAGGCTATAATAATGTTGATTGGTTTGGTAACAAGAATGATAGAAAGATTACTTCGGGTGGTTGTTTCTATGTTGGTACTAACCTTATTTCATGGTACAACAAGAAACAAAATTCCATATCTTTATCACCTTATGAGGCTGAATACATTGCTGTTGTAAATTGTTGTACATAATTGCTTTGGATGAAACAGATGTTTCTGGATTATGGAGTTGATCAAGGTACTATTGCTATCTTTTGTGATAATAATAGTACAATTAATATTTCAACGAATCCAGTTTTGCATTCTAGGACTAAGCACATTGACATTCGACATCACTTTCTTAGGGAACTTGTTAAACAAAATGTTGTGTCTTTGGAAAAAGTGCATACTGATAAGAATTTGGCTGATATTCTTACTAAACCATTAGATGCCCCTAAGTTTTCTCATTTTAGGAAATCTATTAGTGTTTGTTGTCTTGATTAGATGCATTGCAAAGACATAGTCTAAAAAGGATTTTCATGCATATCTTGAGAGTCTAGATTGTGTTTTTGGGAAGTTAAGCAAATCATATTGATTGAGTATGTTGAACACAAGGAGTTTAATGACACCTGGATTATCTGTGGAAAACATACAATGGCTATGAATTGATGAAATTGGTTTTGCTTACTTATTTCGTATAGTGAATGAATCATTGATAGTACATTTACTTGAGATATCATTATTTTGGTTAAAGATAATGTTGATATAATTGATCATTATCTTGGAATTTAAACTTGATTTATTATTTTAAACCAAAAGAGTGAAAAGAAAAGAAGATTGAAAAATAGCTTGGAATAAAAAGTTTTTGAAAAAGAAAGAAAAATATTTATTGTTTTGAAAAGAAAAAAAAGGTGAGATGGAAAAGGCTACCTTTAGGATTTGTCCAAAAGCTACCTTGACTCGAAACAAATGGGAATAAGGGAAAGAGCTGGCTGCCCATAAGAGTGAAAGTCGTCAATGTGCAAAAATAAAAATAAAGCACAAAGAGAGAAAAAAAAAAAAAAAAAAAAAAAAAATCTTTTGCACATGTTAATCGTTTGATTTCTAAGGATATGTCATATCATTGATTTATTATCTGAAATCTGAACAATTGACAGATTATATATTTTTAGAACTTGGTGGTAATTTTCCTACACTTACTAAGTTTGTGGAACTTAAAAAGGATTGATCTTGTTTATTTCTGTTGCTACATATAATCTTGTGGAGTCTACATTCTTATTGGTCTCAATTTACAAGATTTATATGATTCGTTGCTTCCTACTTTCTAGGATTTTTCTTCCTTGTGACCTTCGTTTGTCACAAAAGGGGGAAAGAGTTTAGAGTCCTATCATTCATAGAGAGAGATACTTTTTGCATTGAGGGGGAGAAGAACCATTGATCATTGCATATGTTTACATTGCGTTGATATTCAGGTATTGAAATTTGTTATTTTTATGCTTGTGTTTATTTTTTTTATTAAGCTTCACGGGTAGTTGTGTTTGAGCTAATGTGCAGATTACATGATGCTACATGTGTTAAAGCTTCACGAGGTTCAAGAAAATTCAAGAAAACTTTTGCAGTTTTATTTCCTTTAAACAATCATTGTAATTTACTTTCCTGCTTGGGTAGATTGCTAAATTGTTTTTAAGGTTTTGTCACGAAATTGTCAAAGGGGGAAATTGTGAGATATTATTTTATTTTTGGCAATTATCGTAGACAAAACAAGTCCAAGTCGAGTTGTAATTCAAATTACTTGTTATGCAAGTTATCAAGTTCGACAGCGACTGTAGAACTGCGAAGTTGTTCAAACTTACCATGATTGAAGATCATTCTTCGCAAAAGGAAAGAACAACACATTAGGAAGGATTCTAAACAGGTTAGGACATATTCTACACTTTCCATATTTTTCAAAAGTTTTTGTAGAATGTTTTTAGGTTGATTGGACCAAGGAATTCAAGTCTGCCAAACTTGAATTGGTTCAGCCCCTCTGAACCGGTTCAAGATGTTAAGATTGGCTTCGAAAAGTTTTTGCCAATCCTGAACTGGTTCAGCCCCTCTGAACCGGTTCAAGGTGTCCTACTCACTATACAAGTTTCAGTTTCCTTATCTTGAATTGTTTCTCAGTTGGTTTAGAATTGTACCAAATCTTATGCACGAATTTTTCCTTATTTTCAGAGGGATTAGGTCATTCTATACTTTACATAAACCATGTCATATACATTGGTTTATTTTACGGCTTTAGGGAAAATCAATTCTATATTTTGAGAGAGCCTTTTAGAGAAAAAAAATTCAAAAAATCAAATCTGATTGTTCTAAATTTGTTTATGAGAACATACACATATATTCATGAGTAATTTAGTAGTGTTGTTCTCTATCTCATCGGAATTGGAGCTATATTGAAGATTCAGAGATTCCAAATGAAGAGCAGGATTTAATTCTTCTACGTTGAAGACACCAAATACGGTGCGGATCGGATACGGCCCACATGACACAAAATGGGCCAAATAGGTGATCCTGATCCGAACCAATCAATCTCAAGCTAGGCCTAAGATTGAATAGTGATGCTGAAGGCCTACAAAAAATAATCGAACCCATGACAAGGGAGGCCCAGAACATGGCCCAGTGCGAGGAATTAGTTTGGAACCTCTAGAACCATTGTAATAGTCTATAAATAGACTGAAAATAGAGAGAAAAATGGGAGAAAAAATTCTTGAAGTGTAATGAAACTCTGCTAAAATCAAGTGAGAAAGTTCTTACATCTTCAATGGCGCCGTCTATGGGAAACAATGAGGAATGATTGACGATCGGTTAAGAGTGATTCGATCACGAGTGATTCGTGACAAAAAAACTGAATCAAGATCGGCAAAATCGTTATTTGTTTGGCTGAATTTCGATTCTAGTTGATTGTAAGAGATTCGCGTTCGATCTATGCAGATCTGATATGTGCTTGTTCAGTTAATCAACACGATTGTGTTTTGTTTGGCATAAGCTAAACCTGATGAGTCCATGGTGGAAGAAGTTTGGATCTGGCCTAGAAAGATCAAAATTCAGCTGATTTGAGTCTAGATCTAGTGCGATCGCATTAGCAAAACTCATATCTGATTAGAAATTTGCAGTTAATGACTTTGCTTTGATCAGGAATGATGATCGGAGATGAGAGCTCAAATCCATTGGAGAATGGCCAACAGTCGAAGCTCGATGAGTTGATGAGTGTAATCGAAGCACTAAGAAGAGAGAATGCAGATTTGTGAGCTGGAATGGAGTGTCGTGAGGCTCCTGCTATTCCAAGGCCACCTCCAGTAGGAGAGGGAGTTGTGCCATCCAAGGCTGCTCATCACGATGATCCGGAGGGAAACAATCGTATAGATCTTCATCGTGAGGATATTATGCCAGGCGATCTACCTCCAAACGTCTGTCAGATGGAAAAATAGGAAGGATCCATCCACTTAGATCCACATCGCGAATGGATCATGCGAGAAGAAACCGCTATTTTTTATCCAAGTCAGGGAAGGGTGCGGTGTGATGAAGCAATGGAGTTTGGTCATTATAGAGCTCCATCACTATGGCATAGGGGGTTCACAGATGACAAATCGTTTGATCCACCCTACCAGCCTTCAATAGCGACGTATGATTACAGGAGTTCAGACGGAAGATTTGTAGATCCGAGGATTCCACCACGGTTTTCAACGGAGAATGAAGCACTCCGGTCCTCTGCAAGAACGATTGCATCACCATTCACTAGCGAAATCCTGAACGCTCTGAATCCGAAGAAGTTTTCTATGCCGGTATTCATTTTGTTTGATGGAACGACAAACCCAATCGATCACATTTACCACATTTAGTTGAAAATGGCTTTGAATACAAACAATAACCCTTTGATGTGCAAATGCTTACCTACAAGCTTAGTAGGGCCAGCCCTCAACTGGTTCAAGAATCTGACTCAAGGCTCAATCGCTAACTTCCATGACTTGTGTGATAAGTTCATCAGCAAGTACTACGGGAATAAGTGCCCAGCAAAAGATGTTTTAAGCCTTCTCACTATGAAGCAGCATGAAGATGAACGGTTTTAAGCTTTCCTCACCAGGTTCAATCTTGTCAAGAGCATGGTAATGGAATGTCACCCGTCCACAGCGGTTTAAACATTCAAGCTGGCCATGAACCGAGGGATACCATTCTACACAAGCATGGTGTTGGATATGCCGAAGACCATGGATGAGCTGAACGAAAGAGTTGATGGTTTTGTGCATTTGGAAGAAGAGGAAGCAGTTAATGCGAGACAAACGTCGATTATCTCAACAGAGGAAAAGTCTAAAGCTAAAATTCGGCAAAAACAAGCTCCACCGCAGCGTCAGACCGCCTGGAAGGCAAAGAAAAGGCCCAGAGAGGAAGAGCTAGTTACTCCCCTTAAAGTCACTCTAGCACGACTGTATCAAGAGAACAAAGATAAGTTTTGTCCTCCATTACCAATCAGACAACCTCTTAAACAGAGGGATCAATCTAAACATTGTGCTTTCTATAGTGACTTTGGTCATCAGACTAATGAATGCAGGAACTTAAGGAGGCAAGTGGAGATGCTAATCGTAAGGGGAGACTTTGTAGGATATATTCAAGGTCCAGCACAAGGACAGAACCGACCAGCTGAGCAAGTCAAGAGAAATCAGAAGCCCAATCACCATAACGCTCAGCCCGTTCGGATTATAAATGCAATTCATGGCCAACCTGAACAGACAGCAAAATCTAAAAAGTTGCTCCGAACGCGTCTCCTTCAAGCATAGATGAAGAGGAGGATAGGCAGCTTGAACGCTCTGCACCAACAGTATGCATCAACATAGATAAAGTTCGACAGAACAGATTTGTTGTGAGTTCAGATTCCTCATGAAGACCCTTTGGTTGTTAGCTTGATGATCGCAGAATGCCTGGTGCAAAGGGTGCTAATTGATCCTGGAGGATTGATCTCCAGTTCCTTGTCAACATCATCTGGACCGGCGTAAGAGCTGGTCTGACCCTCAGCAGGAAGACAGTCGCCGTAACCATCCTTGTATCCCTCAGCATATTGGAGGGCTCCAATCCGGGAGAAGTGACCATGCAGAGCCATTACTCCACCACTAACCTTACCAATGATGCCGAGTAAGGCATTGCGCTCCTCCAGAGCCCTCTTTTCAAAAGCCAACTGCTCTGCCTATTTGTCACCAAGCAAGCGTTGGAGATTTTCTTTTTCAGCTTTAAAAGTTTCACGCTCTGTCTGTAGGACGCTCTTTTCGATCTGAAGGGCGTTCTTCTCATCCTGGAGGGAGTCCACTTCTTTCTTTAAAGCATCCCTTTCATTCTCAACTTTATTCAGTTGCACCATCAGTTCAGCGTTTTTGGTGCTGATGATTTTGTTTTCTTTTTGGGCTGAGTCAAGACCGTTGGCAAGCCTACGTACCCGAGCATTGGCTGATTCAATGTGCTTCTGCATTGTCATCATGCTAAACAGAGTCTGCAAGCAGATGCACGAATACTAATTAAGCCGAACGTATGTGATACCCCTCGGATCCGAGACACGGGTTGATCAGGCCCAGGCCCAAACCCGAGGGATATCAGACAATTAAAGTATTTTAAAACGAACACGGATTACAAAATAATGAAGAAAATAAATAATAACGCTGAAAGAATTCTAAATTTAAAAATCCTCAAACTATAATTATTAAAATCCGATAATCCAAAACTCCATAAGTTTAACAACTCGGGAATCCATCCTCGTGGACCCCTAATAAAATCCCAAACTGAAACTGAAATAACTGAAATGAAACATAAAGCTAAACATAGAGAGTAGTCCTACGTAAACGGAGGAGCGAGTGTCTGTATCTGCTCTGCACGTCCAAGCTCTAACCTTGGAACTGACGAACACCTGGAAAATAAAGAGTGGGTCAGGCCCACATGCAAGTCCTATTCTACTACGATCCAAATAGTAATCCGATGCGCAGATACATCCTATATAGCTCAATAATATCTATCTAGTCCATACATATATATATCCACACTAAGGGACATTCACTAGACTACAGTAGGGGTCTCAACCTAAATAGAAGGCAACATGCGAAAACGCACCCAAAGGTGGGCATGAGTACCTAGACCTAACAGGGTACACCTTAACCTACTTTAACCAGCAACGCATCCACTGCATATACGCACCCTAACCAACGAGTCTGAGACTCAAGCTCATCTCGTGCTACCATAAACATATATATAAAGTCCGTCCAAGAGCAGGGTATGTCATTCAAATACTTATTAAGATGACATACAATATACAAACTAGTTAGTCACACAACTTATTCAGTTGATATGACTTAACTACCATCCATTAATCCAAGAAGCCATTCAACTTAGTCGCAGTTGATCTGACTTAGTCACAATTAGGATTCAATATTTTTTAATCCATTCCTTTAATCCGATAGGTTAGGTTTAAGCGTTTTGAGCTAAACCATCCCTAGTATGTCACCGTCCTATACCGGTGCATACAATCCTCCTTATCCTTGTAAATTACAACACATGCATAATAAGCTAGTAACTTACAATCCAAACCATTATCCATATCATTGTAGAAAAGTATTTAAAATTTCAGCAATATACATCCCAGCATTAATTCATGTAATTGCACTAGAGAATTTGATATTCCAACAATTAACGTCCATAGCATGCATAGTTCAAACTTTAAACATAAAATGATCTATCATGCATCTAAATATAAGATTTATAATCTTATTACAATCCATTATGTTGCCCAAAATTTAACTAAGCAATTTGGTTATTTCCATATATTATCAGTATACTAAGCTGTATGCTTTTATACTGATTCATCCTTTAAATAATTTATAAAATTATTTTCAAATCCATTTGGTCCAATTCCTTAGGCCTAAGAGATGTATTATACACTCTAGAACCTTCCCTAGTCCATTTAACCCATTTGATTTAATTAAAATAGGTTTTAAAACAACTCTGGGCGTTCGAAACCAAAAATCCCAACTCAGCCGCCTAAGTTACAACTAAGCAGCCTAAGTTGCCAACTCAACCCCCTAAGTTACCAACTCAGCCCCCTAAGTTACCATCTCAGCCCCCTAAGTTACAAACTCAACCCCCTAAGTTACAAACTTAGCCGCCTAAGTTAGTGCGGAGGTTGTCTTCTTCGTCTGTTCAGCTTCTGTAAACCCTAAAACTCTATTGTTAAGGTCTCCAAACTTCAACCTATGTCCCATACATCCATAATAAATTATTTTAAATGATTTAGCAGACAAAGATTCAAATTAAACCACAATTCATGCATAAAGATCTAAGAAATAAAAAAATCATGAAGAAGCATATAAAATCTGAAACTCCCTGTTTTAATCCAATTAAACATGCATGATTATTATGTTTTGAGCATTAATTAAGCTCCTGGAGTCTAGCTAGGCATGCACAGAACATAAATTAAAGGGAAAGAGAATAACAGAAACTTGCCTTTGAGTTTCAGATTTTAAACTTTAATCCATGTCTCTGAACTTTTCGTCAATGTCCTAGGCTGTAGTCCTATACCTCCAGTGCTTTGGTTCCACCCAGAAACAACCACATTCCTTCCTCCTTGAATTGCTTTGTTAATTACCTAAGTTCCACTCTCGGTTCCTCTCTGCCTCTCACAACCTTTCTCTGTTTTCTCTCAATATACTAAGTACGTGAATAGGGTTTTCTCTGACCCTAGCAGACTTATACAAGCTTATATATAAGCCCCAATGAAAACCTAATCCTTATCCCAAGCTAATTAAAAGTCGGCTATACAAAAACGTGATATCTAAAACAAAACCCTAAAACAATTAAAACATTTAATTCATCTAAATTAAATAAAGAATATAATAAACAATTAACTAAAAAAAACACATAAATTAATTAAATAACACAAATACCATTAAGCAAATAAATTATTCAATTAACTAACACAATTCACTTAACTAAGCAAATAAATAAACAAATACACAATTAAACAATTAAAACAAAACAATTAAACAATTAAAAATACAATTAAACAATTAATTAAATACCAGGACTATCCTTTTAAAATTAGGGGCATTACATTTTTCCCCCCTAACAAAAAGAATTCCGTCCTCGGAATTCGCTCTTACTTTCTTCCAATATTTCAGAAAACTGCGAGCGAGTGACATCCTCCCATTCCCAAGGGAATAACCTTGTTACGAAGAATCTGATCCCGTCGGTCTACAATACAACACGGCGACTCCAAATA